ATTTGATTTCATGATTTTGAGTGTTTTGTGTTCTCAAAGTAATTTGAAATAAATGTTCATGATTATTTATGAATACATATATATAATAATAAAACAAATTAAGTTTATGTTTGTTTAACTTTTGGAAGAGTCAAAAGCAATTATAGAGGTGTAAAATTTATTTTGGAATGATTTTGAGGTGTTTGGTTCTTCTAAAGTATAATTGAGTCTGCCTCCAAAATTAAGTCTACTTGAAGCTAGAATTTGTAGTTTTTGAGTTTAAACATGATTTTTATATTGAAATTTACTGTTCAATTCAATTTTGGATACAATTCTTCTAACACAAACTAAACCATCCATAGTGTACACATTTAACAGTTCTTTAGGTTATTCAATTGCTTAGATGTAAATGTGTAAATGTAATTTTGTTCAAGTATCATTATTTCGAAATGAATATATATATTTCTGCACAACTTGCAGGTTAGATTGCATGTGGAAGTGCCACCATTGGTATGCCAGGATTGTTACAAAAGGGTTCTAGTTGAGTTTACGAAGCATGCAAAGGTGTTATTGGTTTATGCTTACTTTATGTTTATACATTTTTCTCATATTCAATCCAAAAGAAGTTTATTCAGCAAGTTGGTGTTGTTGGTTAATAAAGTGATCTTCATGCTATCTTTCATTACCAATTAATGATTTTTCGGTATCTATATTGGAAGATGTTACAACTCTACATTGTCTTCCATGCAAATTTGAAGTTACTCAATTTTTAAATCTTACGATTTTTACCCTACCATATCATATACAAGTTTACTATTTCAACCTCTTTTCAGAAAACATGCTTCTTATTAGTTATAGTAGTATGAGCTAATTTAACATTATTTTATATAAACAGGTACCTGGATTTCGTCCTGGACGTAATGTCCCAGAAAGTATTCTTATTAATTATGTGGGGAGTAAAAATGTTCAAAAGGCTACGATTGAAGCTATATTGAGGAGGACAATTTCACACGCTGTAACAGTGGTATGTTGCAATCTGGTTTCGGTTTCCTTAGTTTTGAGATGTACTTATGTTGGCCTTTTTAGACAATTTTGGGTTCACTATGCTTTTTTGTGACTATACCCGGGAGTGATTCCTTGATCTTGGTTTGGAATCTGCTACCTAATAGCCATATTCATCATATTACCAAAATCTAAATTCGTTCCAAAAAGACAAGTATTCATGCACATTATGCTAACACAAACAGATAGTCATCCATTTCTTATTATCAAAGTCTATGGCCGTACATTTATGTGAGATCTATTTGACAATGAAATGCCTTAACATTGACCAATGTTATAACTGAAAAAATTGGATTATTGGATCAAGTATTATTCTGATCTCACACTTTAACATCTCATAATCGATTTTGTTTTATAGGTTTCTGGAGTGGCTTTGCGGGATTCTGTAGGTATAGCCACTAAGTTTTCTGAGATGGAGGAAACATTTTCTTCTCTCGGATTTCTTAGGTAATGCATACGTCACAGTTTGAAATGCATTTTCTATGACGCTCATTTCTTCCCCCTTTTCCGAGTCTATTATACCAAAACTACCTTCTTTCATAAAATCAAAGAAAGAGAAGGTTTTCAGGAAGAATGCTCACATTATCAGCCGATTACTTCTGCATGTAGATTATCTTTGTTACTCTCACTTATTTCATGTTTCCAGATATGAAGTCATTGTTGATGTTGCACCAGAAATTAAATGGATTTCTGATGGTGCATACAAAAATGTGAAGGTTGTTGTTAAGATAGACAGTGATATAGACGCTCACATAGCATCTGAAAGAGAATTTAAAAGGCGTTACAAGTCTACCGGTGTACTGAAAGTTGTTACTGATAGAGGGCTACAGGTGATTGAATTTAATTTGCGCTAGTCAACTAATGGAAAATTGTTTTCTTTTACATTTTTATTGTGATTATTTTCTAAAATTTCATTTCAAACCTTCAAGAGTCATTTTATTCGTAGCATTTTTAAGTACTACCAAACAAACATCAGAACGCATCCATGTTTCCTCATGTATGTTTTATATTTAGTCGCAGGCTCGAAGAAATTTTTTTCGTATGAATACCATTTCCTTTTATACGTATTTAGTTTTATGCCATCTTGATAATCAATGTGCATTTGAGTTGATATCACATTGGCTAGCTGAAATTTTCCGGTTGCTACAACATACCTTTTCTTGTTTACAGGTTGGTGATGTAGCTGTACTTGACATCTCAGCAACAACCATTGATAAGGATGAAACAAATATCAAAAGTATTCCTGCTGCTGAAACTAAAGGTCTGGTGATGTGCTTTGAAATATGTTAAATAACTGATTTGTGACAGCAGTTCTTTTGGGGTGATATATCGTGGTCGTTTTTTCATTAAACCTTATACTACATATGCAGGAATGAGTTTAGATACAGAGGAGACTGATCAATTAATACCAGGTTTCCTTGATTCTATAATTGGAATCGGTCGAGGCGAAACAAAGTCATTTCCTCTTGTTTTTCCTGAAACATGGATGCCGGAAGACCTCCAGGGTGTTCATGCTCAGGTTACAGTAAGTTTCTAACGCTGAATTAAAAAATTAATTATTTTAGGAACACGAGTCGGCAGAGTAGTTTTTCTTTTGGTTTTATAAGATACCAAATTGCTCACCAACATGTATAGTTTGTGGATGTTTTCTATCTTAATATTTTCTTGTACGTTTGATTTGTGTGTGCGAACTTGCGTGGCAGATACACTTTCAACGCATCAACTAATTAAGTTTCACTTTCATTTCTAACAGGTTGAGTGCAAAGAACTTTTTTACAGAGATTTACCAGAGCTGAATGATTCTATTGCTGATAAACTTTTCTCTGGATGCACTACAGTGGAACAGGTGACTTTTCTCACTCGAGTACAATTATCATTGTAAAGTGTAAACTAAAAAATTGTATTGTTTGAATTTAGATTAAAATTCTCCAACATGAATTTCCAGGTCAAAGAATTACTGTTACAGAGATGTCAAGAGATAGAACAAACAGCTAGGGAACAAGCAACTGATAATGCTATATTAGAACAGATTTCTAAGGTAACATTACATCATTAAGTAACAGTACTAGATTGAACCTGTTTTGTCTTCTAGATTAGAATGTACCTCGCAACATCTTTTCATTATGCATGCGTCTTTTTTAATTTTAGGCATATATTCATATAACCATTCTTCAATTTCTGCAACTTTGCTAGATTCGTCTACTTCTGTAATCTTTCCACTTAATATTCATATTATCATTTCAGATGGTAGAAGTTGATATACCTCAATACTTGTTTGAGGAACAAGGTAGACAGTTTTATGGAGCCAGCCTATTAGAAATGCAGGTATTGATTCAAGTAGCAACATTTTTTGGCCAATCAGGAAACTTTGATAATTCGATCCTAACAAATTTTACATTTGTTTATGATTTGAAATTAGAAAAGGAAACAGAAAATTCTATAGAACTAGCAGATACATTTATTTACTAGTTCTTATTTGGAAAATTGTGATGATTCAGACAGAAGCAAAACTAACTAAGGAGCAGCTGGCTTCTCTATCAAGTCCAAAGGCTGTGAACGAATATCTTGAGCATCATAAAGAAAATATAACAAATAAAATCAAACAGAGCCTGGCAGTAGGTGACATATATAAGCGAGAAAATATGGAGGTATGTCTGTCTGATTAAGATATGTTTTATACAAATATTTACTCAGTTCAACTTTGTCAAAAGCTGTTATAAGTGTATTAGGGCCACTCAGTTTAATCTGATTGAGAAATAACATTTTCTTTACATATCACATTCTTTATGTCTGTATTTAGCAAATTATTTGGCTTATTAGAATGATTTGTGGCTGTATGTTCTCTAGATCCCTATTGAAGACATCGTCAAAGAGGTTGAGCGTTCTATTGCTGAATTCAAACGTACAAAAAAGGAGTATGATGAGGAACGAGTAAAGGAACAGGTTTGCACTTTACTTTTTTAATTTGCTTACTGTTATTTTGTTTTCTGAGTTTTTTGTTTCGACTTCTTATTCATTGCATTTATGCATATCCAAATTAAATTAATTGTGAGTTCACTTAGGGACAGGTCTTTAAAATGAATTCACTTAGGGATAAACACTTCCAATTGCATGGTTTTTTTAAAACAACAAATACATTATAAAGGGCACTCGAACCCAAATACTAAGAACAAAGGAATCCGAAAGGATTGCATAGCATGTTGATTAGCAAAAGTAAATGCATTATGCAGACTACGGTAGGTTTAGGTTATGTTGCATTTTTCATTTTCAAGGAGGAAATTTGTGTTTTGAACTTCTTTCTTTCCTCTAATTTAAAGATTGATTGATAATATCTGTTTGAACTTTCCTGAAGGTTCAAGAAATACTAGAAGGAGCTAAGGTGCTTGAATGGCTGAGAGAAAATGCAGACATTCAGTATATAACAGTATGAGAAGCGAGCACCAGCCGAAACAAATTAGGAAAGTGAAATTGCAGATCCATTTATAAGAGTTTCCTTTCGGCTGATGTAAGTTATGAGAAAATAAACTATTCTTGATTGAATTTTGTAGAAAGAACTAAAGAATAAAAGCCACGCGTTACTAGTGATGATAAATGTTTTCCATTGAAAGTAGAAAGCAATAACAAAAACAGCAGCAAATAGTACATTAAGTCCTACAAAGAGCTCCATTTGAACCCTTTACATGCAATATTGTATTTAAAACTCAGATCTTTCAGACAGCTTTGAAAAACACCGATATAGTACTCATTTCACATATGCCTAAAATGTAAATGTCAATCCCGAAAGAGAAATAAGCAATGTGATATTCAAGGATCTCTGTACTCACTACTAAATATACTCGGCAGTTTTTTTTTTTTTTTTTTCATAAGGAGTGGCCTCAGAAAGATTCTTTATCAATCTCCACCATTTTTACACCAATTGATGCATGCTTGATAGAATGTACATAATGAACTTGTTATGTCTAGAGTACATGTCTTTCTCGTAATATCTGTCCAAGTTTTGTATAAAGAGCTAGCTGCTCCTCAAAACCAAGGTCCCTCATTATCTACACAATAAATATAAAATGAAAAGAATCATGGCCTAATTTTCACATGATTGAAAACTACAGAATAAATTGCTTAAACAAACAAGCTCACCTGCTCCAAAAGCACATCAATGGAATAGTCATGGGGGACAACAAATGATTGGTGGTAAATGTAAACAAAAACAGCCATTACCATCTGAAAAAGATGAATAACACATCATAAAACTAAACAGTCACACCAACAGCACGAAATCTTGTATCTTGCATATGTCAAACTCATAACAAGAAATTGAAGTTTTTTTTATGACCATGTTCTAAGCATTGAAATGAAGATGTCACATTGACCTGAAAAATAAATTTATCTATGTGCAAACCTGGCAGTCCATTCTGTCTGTAAATCCACCATGTCCAGGTATACTGTCACCAAAGTCCTGGATTCATCGAAAGAGATTAATGGCATATGGCTCAAAATACACCCTACTTTAAAGATCAAGAGCATACCTTGATTTTAAAAGCTCTTTTGAAACCGCTAGCGAAGAATCCTCCGAACGGCGCTATGATGGACGCAAATAGTCCTAGCCATAAGGCATGCCACTGAACTGGCAAAACTGCTATTTCTTTCTCAGGTATCTGCATTTTGCAGAATGAAATAAATCTTTGTTAAAGTCATGAAGTTATTATAAAATGGAAATTGAATGCTAATCACATCAACATAAATATTCTTAACTTACCATGCCAGGAGGAACAACTCCTGGCATTGGAATGTAATCTGGCTTAAAAATTGGATCAGGGTCACACTCAAGCCAACCAGTTGATAAATCCTGAATTTATTGCACCAAATGATCAACAAACAAACATGTCTCTTAATCTTACATGACTCCACTAAATCAAGATTCTTACCTTCCTCGGGCATGTTAGCCACTGAAACCGACCCAAAAAGTTTGCAAACTGAAACAAATAATACGAAATCAATTATTTTCAATTTTGTTATTGCAATTTCCTATCTAACAGTTTCCTTTACTGATCGATTCTTACCGTAAATGCAGCAATCATAGTTGCAATAGACGCTCCTATAAAACCCTCCCATGTTTTCTTCGGAGATAACTTGATCAGAGGTGTTTTCCCAAAGAAGAAACCAAAGAAATATGCAGCAACATCATTCATAGCAATAAGAAGTGCAGGAAAAAGAAACCTTCAAAACAATGGTCACATGTTATGAAAACATGAAGAAAGAACAAAGTTAACATTAAAAGAATAAATTAGTATGTATCAGAAGTAACACTACCAGAAAATTCCTTGAAATATATTAGCTACCATGAATGCAGATTGTGTAAACACAATGATAAGTATCATATGTGTCCATGCATACTGTCCAAATTGATACTTGTAGTATCTTTTCTTTAGCGAAAGAATAAACCATACAAAACCTGAAACCAGAAACCATACATAAAATACTCACTCATAAATCAATTTATTATACTATAGGACAAAACAAAAACCAGACACTAGTACTAACCTGCAATATATAAGAAGTAACATATAACCATTTGATACTTGATGAGGTTACTGACAAGCCTATAGAAAAATTTATCTGATGTGACAGTATTCACAAGGTGCTGACTGAGGATACGGCCGTATACGTATAGCATCGCCGTGAAGAAAAAATGCCTGAACAATTTCGCTGTGTTCATAATCTAAACATCATGAATAAACCAAATTAGGAATTGCAGCGTCGTGCTTACCAGTTCAAGAGCTTGAACTTCGGGAGACGTTTATCTTGATTCCCTATTCTCAGGAGATTGAAGAGCTCACTAGCCATAAAAATTTGGATAACAACCATCATTGCCCAGATGTAAAGATGGCCCAGGTATATGATAAGCGCGACGCATGCTAACATCCATAGAGACGAATATGCACGAATCCACATTGATTTGTATTTGTATTTATCATTTACAAGTAAAAGGATTCCATTTGATTTGTTTATATCAGGAAGAATCTGATAAATAAAAAAACGAATCAACCAAAGACCCGATATTATTAACATCTTTCACTTAAAGATATTCAGTATATAAATCATTTAAACGAACCTCGTTTAAACGCCTTCTTTGTCGAAAATTAGGAGTTTTCGGTGAAGTACAGCTATGATCCACATTCAAATCTTTCATTGTTGGAGACATGATATATGGTTCAATTTTCTACCTGTGCTAAAAAAGATTATGCATGGAGAAATTCGTAGCTGGTTAAGACAATGTAGAGATGGAAAATGAGAAAAATGATGAATGAAGGTTGAAGATGAGGGTGTGTAGTTGGATGCTATGTTTGTGGAAAAGTAACGAGAATAACAGAAAACATACATGAGAGATAGAGAAGTAATTTCGAGAGTTTCGTTAGAGTTTTCATTGACCAATCAAGGCCCCTCACTTCACTCAAACTCTAATAATCATAGGGAAATTATTAAACGGGGTTGAAAAATTATCATGATATTATTACTAACGTTTTTTTTTTTTTAATCATTGAGAGACAATTAGTTATTTCACACATATTTAGATAATGGCAATTTTATTAAATTAATTACAAATATTTAGTTAATCAATCATATATTGTATAGAAATTAATTAATATGGTAGTTAGGTAGTTATACCTAACTCATGTGGTTACTATAGATTTTGTATGTGATTAGTATAATTATATATATGTGCTTACTATTAAGTGAGTATGTGGTTAATAACTTAGTAATATGATCTTATATTAATAATATAACATATATTTATATTACTTACAAAATATAATTGAATAAAATTACCATTTTGAGCCTTTTCCATTCTTTTGATATTTTTACTTCCCCACATTTTTTGGATCATGAGTACTAGCATAAATTGTGTTGTTCTGTTCAAGAGTCATGATTGTTTACGTAGATTTTTGATGTGGTTGTGCAGAGCTCTAGTACGGTTGCACAGTAGCAAATCTGCAAAGTTAAAACTCAAACGTCCAAGTAAATTGTGATTAGAATCGTACATTTGACTCTGCATGTGGCCACGTTTTGCATTGGGCATGCAGACGACGCAAAACAGTTGCCCTAAGGCTTGTAGTGGTGTGGCGAATTTAGAAAATCAGGGTTTTTTGAGCACTACTAGGGGCCATAGCAGCTGCTACAGGTGGCTGTAGCAGACCCTTAGGTATCTTGAAAATACCAAAAAATGAGTTTCGTCATCCTGATCGAAACGAGGTCAAATGCATTTGAAATCAAATTTAAAGCCTTATCTTATGGTGATGCTTGATAATGCTTGTGTACACGTTTTCTCTTGGTGAATTGGCTATGAATTCTCGTGTTTATGTGTGTTATATTCCATGTGAGATGAATGAGAATAACATATCTATGTGTCTAATTGAGGATATTGATATGTTCGACAACAAAGACAACAAAATAGCATGTAATACACTTAAAGGAAAATATGTTTCAATTGTAATGAAGTGAGTCTGTGGCCCGAACCCATACCTGAGTGATAAGTCATGGCTGGGGAAAGACATTTTCACTTTGTAAGGGAAATTCGTGACCTGGAACCAGAATTGAGTGATAGTTCATGGTCGGGAAAAGATGTCCCTTGTTGATAGATAGTTTGTGACCTGAACCCAGACTCATATAGCGAGTCATGGTTGGAAAAGATATTTGTTATGTTATAATTTATCGAGGTAGAAAATGGGTTAAGTGGACTCGATTTATAATACTCGCAATGACAGGAGACCACTTGGATCTCAAACCCCTGATACTTGCATGATTGTATGATATGCAAAGTAAATTAAATGTATTATATGAATATAATAAGGCTTGAGAACCCTTTAGAGCCGAGTGGATCCATAGGATAAGAGAACTCCATTGAGATTTAGTATCTCATCCCATTCTCATTGTTGTTTTTCATGTAAGCAGGTGTTGACCGAAGGAAGAGGCAATATGGATGCAAGACTTGGAAGACATATTTTCCATTATTTTAGTTACATTGTGTATTCTATGTCGATCTCATGTTGTTTTATGAGCATATTGATATTTAAATATGAAAAATTCTTGTAATCGTGTTATTGTGTATACTGTTCTATTATGATTCAGTATCAGAAATAACATGTAGAGTAGTATAATTCTAGAAACATATTACTTGGGGTGTTACAACTGGTACCAGAGAAGGTCGGTCCTCGACCTAGTCGTGAAACATCAATAGTGGAATTTCTTCCTCATATGTGTGTGTTTCTGACCTTAATTCTCGTATCATAGCTTGTATTTATAAAGCCTGATCAACTTGATATTTACATACATGATGGGAAGAATTAGGGCTGAGTCACCACGAGGACCAGGAAGGTAGAAGGAATTTCGTATTCAAAATATGGAAGTTAACCAAGTAGGAGGAATTGATAAGGACCGTTGAGCATAGGCATTGCATTGACAATAATAGTATTGATCGTAGATGTGACAACAATACACAAGAGTTATTCATGAATAAGTGCATTGAATGCAGGATTTCAAGATATCAATTGTATGAATCCCTGGAACATGGAATGGTTCGAGATTCACTAATGATTAATCTTTTGCTCTTCAGTATGGAGAGAGAGTTCTTCAGGTGACTTCTTTTGGGAATCATTGTCTCTCGCGTGTTGTGAAAGGCTAGTAACGAGATGTGTTAGAACAAGATTTGTTCATGACATATTTTCTTTGGGTTTTGATGATAACAAAGTATTGGAAAAAAAATGGTTTAATTGTGTGTTACATGTGTGCAAGTTCTAATACTTGTAAATATTATGGTCAGAATCTGTTCTACATTAAGCATACTTTAAGAGATGCTAAATTGCTAGCTTCTTGTGGTAGAATCTGAAGAACACTTGCTAATGTCTGGCATAGACTCTGAAGTTGAAGGTCTCAGCATCAGAAGAAGCAACATAATTGTCTCTACAATTAGTGAATGTAAATTGGCCTCAGGTACCATTCAGAGTTGGTGATAAAGCTGAAGTTGTTTGTACTATAGAAAGCAAGTTGTATTATCAAATCAGTTTGTCAACTAGAGTCTACAGATTGTGAGGCTCAAGAAAAGCTGAGATGCTTTATGGATATCTACTCTCAATGGCTCTATCAGTACATAATCTCTTGAAGACTCAAAGGTTAAACATATTACACATTGGATTAATATCTTCTGGTGTATCTATCTTCAACGAATCTTGTACTATGGAGTAACAGCAAAGACTCTTGATCAAGTTACCTCTTCAATGAGTAGTTTCTGAAAAGGCTATAAATATGGCCGAAGGTTCAAACTGAATCTTTAATAAGGATCAACCAGAAGAAGGAGTAATAAGATCAACAATTATTAACTCAATGTATATGCTGATTTTTCTGATGTAGGTTGTAATTGTAAAAGCCTTAAGATTTCTTACACATTGAATATCTTAGAAATCTTAAGAGCTTTATGTATTTGTTATGGTGATTTCTCGTACCTTTGATAATTGTATCAGGTACACCTTGTTCTCTATTCTTCTAGGTTTGTTCAGCAGTCTAGACAAAAGTCTTGTATGATTGGGATACAAGCAAGGAAGTCTTGAGCCAAGATGCCTCAGCCACATAAGTCTTTTTCTATGTGCTTGAGCTGTGAAAGTCTTAATCATACGAATTGATTGAGCAGCCATCTTGTATCATTAGGATACAAGCAAGGAAATATCGATCCAAGATGCTTGAGTCACGTAAGTCTCTTGCTATATGCTTGAGCAGTGAAAGTCTTAATCAAGTATATTAATTGAGCAGAATAGTTCGGTGCATGGAATTAGGAGAAACAAGTCTTAGTCGGTGGGGTGCAAGCAGAGAAAGGCTCGTTTCATGTGACCTGGAGCTGAAGTGTTAAGCCTTGGGGGATTAAGCAGGAATGCTCAGTGCATGGAATTTGGAGCAGTAAGTCTTGGCTAGGGAGTGCAAGCGGAGAGGCTCGTTTCATGTGACTTAGAGCAGAAGTCTTGGGCTAGGAGCCTGTGCAAGGAAGTTTTGGGTTCGTGGAATCTGAGCAGGAAGTCTCGAGTGAGGAGCTCGAGCAGAAGTCTTGGACCTTGGGTCTGAGCAGGTGTAAAAGTCTTATGCAGAATGCATAAACGATTGTAATCATGTTTTGATTATAGTGAACATATTTTGTGAAGCAATGGGACTGAAGTACTCTCAATTAGGGGATGGACCAATATAAATCTTTGTTTCTTCTTCTATTATTCATTTGCTTATGTTAACATTCCAATGCTAAGAATTCACCAAAATCTGAACACCAGTTTAGAATCTGAACTTTGATCAGATGTAAACTAAGAAAATGGAAAACACAATTCAACCCCCTTCTTGTGTACTTTTCTCACCTTCAAGATGGTAGCATGACACATCAGGGTATGTGTTGGCTCATAATCTCTCGAAGGAATAGTTGTACATCAAGGAAACATTCTTGAGCAAATACCTTATAGGATGCGTGAGGGTTTGAAAAAAAGTAGAGCCTACATGATTTCGACCTAAAGTCGTTGTCAGTAGAGGAAATTTGCATAAAGGTTTGAAGGCATGGTGTCTTATCCCAATCAGGTCTCATATGTCCTAGAAAGGAAATAGGAGATCAACTAACTCAAGTTACGACTCAAAGTAGAAATCGAGCACAATACAAGCTCATTAGAGTTTCGGTAACCATCATTATTGCTACGTCAGAGCTATGTCGCCAGAAATAGTCTGATAAAGATCAAGCTGGAGAGAGAGTAATCCTAGCATGGTCAAAAGAATTATGGCAGAGCTAGCCACCAACTGAAACCAAAAAGGACCTACCTCTGAGAGCAAGCAGTTTCAAATTGCGAGACTAGTGCATCCGCTTAGGTGTCAATATTATGAGAGACATTAAAACATAGAATGTCAATTTGTATCAAAGAAATGGTATTATGGTTAAGGAGAGGGCCGTATAGAAAGAAATTATCCTTAGCGGAGCGCTTCAAAAGCATCAAGGGAAGCATGTAGGTTTGCATGTTTGAAACTAGAAGAAGCCACAAGTAGCAATGAGGTGATAGTCAGTGTGCATTGTACCTCGCCAACCTCCTATTGTTCTTTTAGGTATAGAGTTCCTCACCCTTTTGGTAGTTCAATCGATGAGTAAATATGTTGGATTGAGCAAAAACTCTTAATATCTTAACTGACCTA